TTACGTCACTCAAGGCACTAGTAATGATAAATAAAATAAAGTCTATAGGCGTGATACGTGACTTGGCAATACTCAACATGAGCCAATGGATCTACTTCGTGGAACAATTTGAGGAAACTTTCGAGAACCTCAAGTTCGCAGCGACCTTTTACATGAACACCTTAGTTATACCACCAGTGGATCAAAGATATAAGGTTATTAAGGAGTATCACGAATCAACAATCGGGGGTCATAAAGGAATGAATAAAACCTACAATAAGATAGCAAGGGACTATTATTGGAGGAACATGAGGGCCGATGTAAGGCAATTTATACTTGGATGCAAGTCATGTCAGACTAAGAAACTAGTGCATGTAAAAATGAAGCAAGCTATGCTTGTTACAGATACGCCCAGCAGACCGTTTGAAAAAATCTCGATTGACTATTACGGACCAATTAGTAAGCCTTCAACAAACGGCTATACACATATCCTGTCAATACAGGATTGGCTAACCAAGTTTATTGTATGAATACCGGTACAAAGAGCAACAGCTGAAGAAACGGTAAGAGCCTTAACGAATAAATTTTTAGCATACTTTGGAGCGCCAGAAAAATTATTATCAGACCGAGGAACGCATTTTATGAACAAAACGATGGATGAGCTTACGCGATTATTTAAAATTGAAAAACTTGGGAGCACGGCATTTCATTCTCAGAGCAATGGGGCAATTGAACGCATGCACCACGTTCTAACAGAATACTTAAAAGCCTACATTAGCGAGACCGAAAAATGGGACGAACGTTTGCCGTTGTGTATGCTTGCTTACACTACGTCGGAACACGAGAGTACAGGCTACACACCCTACGAGCTTATATTTGGTCAACATGCAAAACTCCTGTCAAGCTTTAAGAAGCTAGAGGTGGGTCAAACATATACAGAGTTACTGCTGCAAATAACGGGGACACTCGCGCAATTACGATCATTGGCAGCAATGACCCAAACACAGAACAAATACAGATCAAAGTACTATTATGATAGGGCGCTGAACATGAATTTTTTTATGGAAGGTGAGATGGTGTATGTACTAAAAGAGCCCTCTAAAGGGAAATTTGATGACTAATACGAGGGCCCTTACGAAATAGTCGGCATAGATTACAGGAACCATAATGTAAAGTTACAGAGAAATGAAGAAATACGGGTCTCACATGTGGACAAAATAAAAAAAGCTTGTGTATTGAAATCTCCGTGTCCAAGGGATGAGATTATAAGAAGAGGAGAAAAAGAAAAGTGAAAGAGACCAAGAGGCAACTTGCTCCCCACCCCAATAGTTACTTACGAATAATAGCAGTATAGACGAATAGGGGGTAGAAATAGATGTGAAAATAAATACCACTTCTCTCGGGAACTCTTTTTCTTTCGCGGTCCCCGGATGCGCCGCGAAGATTCATTAAATACGGGCATACGGGAGGAGACATGTAACGAAAGGAAATACATTACGTTCAAAATTAGCACAGACTGAGGAATTAAGGAGAAAAGAGAAACATGTAATATAAAAATAATATTAACAATCATAATAATAAGAGGAAATGAATAAATAACGTGTATAAGAAAGTGATATTCTATTTTTATTTTCTTTGTTACTCTTTACATGAACGATGTATGAGAGGTGGGTAAAAAGTGCGTGTGGCTCTATCTAACTAGCGTTAAAACCATGTCAATACAATTATCACATAAGTGTACACTTAGAAGACATATGCAGAATATAGGCATATATATGTATAAAAAAAAAACCTTTTTGAGTTACATATTTGTACGGACGGGAGGAGCATGGAGGAACGGTAAATAGAAATAATGAGGGGTAACCGCAAAAAAAATTTTTATCACACTTTTATCGTGGGCCACGAGCTCACGAGCTAGGACAGATCCTCCTCTTCCCTCTTCCTCCCTCCTTTTTCCGCCCGCCGTCAGGGACTATCCTGCCCCCGCTATGGTCACTCCCGGATAATAACATCGCCTGTAAATGGCGCACGCAGTCGTCATGAGACACCACTGGATTGGCGGTCACGTCCTTGGCGACGAACAGACCGTCCACTGGACTGTCCACCTAAGGTCACTTTTCTTTACAAAAGCATATAACTGGCAACTATGATGAGAAGTAAATCAACTGATAGCGCACCTGGATTATTGGTCGGCTATCAAGAAGATAGGAAGCAGCGTCGAACTGCACCACCGCAAGGGCAAAGGGGCCATGTTGTGAAACCACTCTTGCTCACAGAGAGGCCTCGGTACACCGAAATAAGCGTACGGATCAACAACAAGCCGTGTACCCAACTAAAACAAATTTTTTCTTAAACTTCAGAAACTCGGTCAATCGCAGGAAAATGTCAAAAATCGCACTTGCACCAGTCATAGTAAAATTTTTTTGCGTTGTGTGGAAACAACAAGCAAGAGTTCCAGATAAAATCAGCGAGTACACAGCCGGGAGAGCAGCAATGAGAAAAGGAAAATCCAACAGAATTTCTTTGACATTCCCTCCTTGAATTCTGTCACATGAAAAGAAAAAAAAAAAAAAAAAAAAAAAAAGGGACGAAAGAAGATAAGGTATAATTAAGGGGAAATGAGTGAAGTATTGGTCCCGACGTGACATACTGCTCACTACGGAAAGGCGTGATCATAAAATCATCTACTCCTCCAAGCTCATCCCAACCAAAATAGGGACAAACTGTAATACAACGCGGTACCTTCCAAAGGTACAATAAACGAATACATACACAAATGTCGCGAGAATCGGCGAAAACAACGCTGTAAACATACAGACACGCATGTACTTAACACGCAACGGGGAAAAAAAAACAGAGTTTTGATTAAAAAAAAAAAGAAATTCCTAAGGAGTAAGACTATTATGTACCTTATGTTTATAGCATACACATACACAGTGTAACAAATATAGATGTACATAAGTATAACATTAATATTATATGCAACGATATACCCTGAATGTAAAGACGGAGCCACACTCGCTACTTACCGTAATAACCAGTCAAGCCCTAATACTAGATTGCATTCGATGATTATTAAGAAAATATGTGTAATGAATTGTATGGCATAGGCATTTGTATTTACACAGAACGTTAAAACAAAATAAAAATAAATTAAGAAGAAAGGTAAAATTTTTTCTCTCTCTCTCGTAGTTGTTCTCTCTTTCCTTAATCAAGGGTAACCTAGGGACCTAGGAGCTTACGATAAATGGGAGTGAGAACGGAAAAAAGGATAACTATTTTACGTTTTCAAGGTAAAACCACACTAGTAGGAGGACAGCCGGGGGAGATAGAGCAAATCTAAAGAAATCCGGGGATACTAGTAGAGAATCTGGGCCCAATTCAATCAGTCGCGTCGACATGGAAGATAATATGGTATGTAGATTGGAATCAAATGGCCCAACAGACAGAGGCATTTCTACAAGCAAGTCGACAAACGAAATGTAAATGTAGGGTAACTATAAGAAAAAGGGATAAATGTGAAGAACAGGTAGAACGGGCTACTAAAAGAGTCCCAGGAGCCTTACGAAAAATGGAAACAGCGTACAGGGCAGTAGTAGGCCAAAAAGTCGATGATAACCAGATCGAAACGGTACAGACACTCCAGGGACAAGTAGTAGAGGCAGATAAGGAGAAAATACAGGAGCTAGTGAAGTCAAACCCGACGCACACGACAGACACTACAAGGTACATGAAAGAACAAATGAGGATTTCAACGTTCGGTAATCACGAGCAGGTTCTCCAAGCTATAAAGAGATTTGAAGACGAAGCAGGAAAGGTAACAGAAGAAGGATTGAAAATATTCTCGGAACTTATAGACGAATACGACAGAGTATCAGGAATGGTAGAAAGATTCGAAAAATTGACCGAAGAACTCGTAGCTAAATTTGAGACAGCGACGGATATCATATATTTAGCGATTCGAGGCGTGTCACACCTGCCAGAAGCAGCGCTAGATGTGATAACAGAAGCAGAAATATTAGCAGAACAATTTAGACCAGACCTTAGATTTCCGGGAGAAAAAAACACGACGGGGAAAGAAATAGCAGAAATATCAAAGATAGCAACGATAGCGCTTGATAGAAAAATTATATATTATATTGAAATACCGCTGGTAACAAGAGAGAGTCTAGACCTTCTCAGAATATCACCGTTTCCGGTAGAACAGGAGGGATTAAATATGACAAACGTCATCGCTTATCTCCAACCGACATATGAGTACATTGCGGATAGCACGAGCGAAAAAAGATTTGCACCAGTAGCGCGGGAGACAGTGGAACAATGCAAAAAGTTGAAAAAGGTAAGTGTATGTACACGAATGGAGCTGACACAGGAAGTGGAGGAGGACCACCCTTGTGAGATACGGCTGATACTAGAAGAATCTGTAAAGAAACCGGAAGAGTGCCCGATAGTACTGGCAAAATTAAAGGGCACATATAGGACACGTCTTCACGCGAAGAATCAACATGCGTTCAGCACTACGGAAGAGGAAAAGATACACGTACAATGCGATCACACCAATCACAAAACATTTAAAGCAATGAAGGCAGGAGTAATAGACCTAGCGAAAGATTGCACAGCCCAAACATCGGAGACGAGATTGGACCCGAGTCAGGAGGAGGGCGAGAACCAGATAATTAAGTTTAAGAGCTCAAATTTGAATCTGAAAGAAATAGCGCGGAGAATAAAAGGGATAAAAGAAGATAAGATATTGGAACAAACAAAGATGGTAGTAGAAAGGGATGGGTTACAGGAGCTTGGTAAGCAAGAACATAGACCGGAGGATAGGTTGACGACAGGTACTAAACTGATAGACATAGTACAACGTATACATGACTTAATACAGACAAAAGAGGAATTTTTTAACTGGAAGGAATATGCATGGTTAGCAGCTGAAATAGCGTTGGGGGCGGCTGCAGTATCGGTCGGGATTTTAAAATGGGGGGCCCCACTTATACTAAACTTATCTAGAATGTTTGCAGGAAGAAGAACCAGAAACAATGTCACAAGAAATGAAAATCCGGGAAATTCTATATCACTACAGCCAATACTAATCCAAGTACGGGGTGAGCGGCAACAAGGATATCAACCGACGGGCAGTAACAAGCAGTTACCATAAGAAACAAACAAACTTCAGCTAAGTTAAAGGTAGAGCCTTAATACCTAAGCATTGACGATGTCTAGTAAAAAAAACAAAAAAAAAAATAAGTAAATAAATAGACAAAGAAAATAGTAAGTAGATACGTAAATAAGAACGGTTGATATACCTTTTAGTTCAATGATGCGTTAAATGGATGAATATAAGTTAAAAAAAAANTGTTGTGTGGAAGACGCTGCGTTAAATGTAATGAATATAGTACAACACAAAAAAAATGAAAATAAAAAAAAAGGGAAATGAATACACAAAACAAAAGTTGTAAGTAAAATAAAACTGAACGAAGAAAAACAGTAATCATAATGAGGAAAATCAATATGTATGAAAGAACTCAGAAAAAAAAAATATGTAAGTAAATAAGTTAATATTAAATTAGATAATAAGCAATAAATGGTAATTGAATAATCATCAATGAAAGTAAGACCCACAAGGGCATATTTATCAATTTATTATATAAGAGGGAAGAGCGCAAACACGAACAATATGTGTAATAACACAATTATAAACTTGCGGAAAACTAATCAAAGCCTGTAAAAGAAACGAGGATGTTCATAGGAACACCTCATTAATTTTTCTTATATAATAAGTGTACATTACAACACGAACAACATGATACAGACACTAATTAAACAATCATTCCCGAGGTGGTACAGAAAAGAACGTTGTCGAGGGCGAAAACGAAGCGGCCTCGGACGTGTCACATACAGTATGGAACATACTACGTGGGATGGGCCTCAGCTATTAGTATTAGGAAGGAGCACAAGTGGGGGAAGAAAGAGCATAAAAAGGCCCGCAGCAGTGGCCACAGGGCTCTTGAACGTCGGGACTAGAAGGAGGATAGTCGCAATAAGTAACTCGGGACCGCAAAGCGCCTGTCCTCAAGGAATATAGCAATAAAGTGATTGATTGAGTTTAACTGCTGCGTTGTTATTAAGCACCCCGAACCTTTAGAATCCCACATAACAATCCCTACTCATCCCCCCTCACTGCCACTTAATTTATTTTAACGCCTGCTCCCCTCCCCGGATTCTATTCTCACGCTTTTTTACTTTCTCCTGAGCTCCCTCTCATAAGGAATCAAAATATTCTTTATTTAAATGTGAGATTCATTAATTACAATCTTGGTCAATGGTTCATCGAAACAATAATGTAACTTGGTACTTTTTTATTTATTTTTTCCACACCACCCATGAGGCAAATATTTTATTTATTTTTTCCACACAGCCCATGAGGCAAAGAGACCAGCGCGTTAATTTTTTTTTTTGTTGTTATTATGTAAATGTGTGTTCGACATTATTTACGTAAGTGTAACTATAAAATTTTGTATTATGGTAAAACAATAACAACAGAGGAGATCTTCGCCAATCAGTCCTTTTGTGGAACCGTGGAAATGTGCCCTATATGAAAAATGACATTCATAATATAATGCATAGATAGAAAGTACATTATAAAAAAATATTGTAACATGAAAAAAGGTAGCAGTTTGTAAGCATTAGCAATTTGCTGGTATAATATAATGAAAATAATGAAAAAACTTTCTAACACTACATATGTTCTCTATAGCCATTAGCATGTTGTGAGTATCATAAAAAAGTAAAGATAGACTGCTTGTTCCAATCATAAGATTCACAAGCATACAAACGACGTTTTCAGTAGAACTTGCTCGTGACATAGATGAATGAATCTCGTTGCAGTGGTGCCCTCATGCCACAAAAGTACAAGACCTACTCCCAAATGAAAATTAAAAGAGGATGTAAACTGGGGACAAGCTTGGCTGCCATGCTGCCTACCTTAGCCACGCTCCTTACGCGTGCGCGTGTGTGTGTGTGCACTTGTGCGCGCGTGTATATATATATATATATATATATATTCGAGCAAATCCAAGGTCTACGACGAAGGTTGGCATTCCTGTCCAAGGGAGCCTCCTGAAAGCTTAATTTCTTGATAATGTTGATGAATTAAATGAAATTTATTTACAAAGATAATATAAAATCTTTTGATGGTGAAAATAACACTATACGTATGTGTATTCATTGCCACTGAATAAATTTAAGGCATCAGAAATTCTTAAAAAAAAACAAAAACAAATTGACATTATCAAACTTACGATACCTTCTATTTTTGTTAACAGGTCAATTTCATGTGAGTTATGTTAACTCATACATTTCATAGTAATTAATATAATAGACAATATATGTCAAAACTGTAATATTTAAGCATCTTAAATCATATAGTATTTGTAATGACTAGTTATGTACAATAAAATATTTTTGGATTGTGCTTTAGCACTCGAATATACAGCTAAGAAGAATAATCATAGACTAATTATGTAAAAAACTGATTTATTACAGATATATACCTATATCAACTTATATATATATTCTCTGTGGTACTTTATACCTACTGCTCTATAGTGAAAATCGTAAGGTGGCTGTAATACGGGCTAAGCTAGGCCTCTATTACAGCTAAGTTCCTATCCGGTAAATAACGTCTGACAGAAAACATCACTTGATATCTTCGAAGTCTTAAAAAAACATATTAAAAATCGTTCTTCTTCATATTTTTCTTTTCATATACATACATGCATGTAAAAAAATGTTCATGAAGAATAAAATATGTATAATATGAAAACCTAACCTTTGAAACCAAGAAAAAACGCTATATTTCAATAGAGAGGCAAAATTGCCTAAAAATAACATTTTTTACGGGTTTGCACCAGGAAAACTGCATAATTGACATGCACAAATATACAGGGGTTGGATTATGCACAAATATAACCTTAATTATTTCTTTTTTCGACTGTATCTTGAAAATAACAAGTAAAAAAGTTTTCTTTTCAACGTCAAGTTTGAAAAACTGTTCTAGACATTTACAAAATCTTCAAAAATTTTTTCTTACAACATAACCTCTGAAAATTTAAAACACAGTCGTATCTCGAAAAGAACGCTAGAGAGACCCAAAATAACCATTTTTACGGGTTCTCTAAAGGGAAACTACGTGACCAACGCGCACAAATAAAAAAGGGTTGGACAATGCACAAACATAAACTTAATTGTCTCCTTTTTTGGCTATATCTTAAGAAAGAACATGTCGAAAAAAATTTTTATTTAGCATAGCATGTTTTGAACATGGATAAGGATGTTGAAAAAATCTTCGAAAATTTTTTTTTACATCGTAACCTTTCAAAATTAATCCTACATATAGAAAATAACTATTGAGCAACAAAAATATATGTTACAAAGGTAATGCTACTTCCTACATGTCCTACCTATAAATTAATTTATTTTTTATTTCGAATCGTGTATTACAAGAATAATTACCAGGTGACCAGAACCTATATTCTTATTATTAATTCTAAGATTAGTAAAAGTTAGTTAAGCACGGGTAAATTTTAATTTATAAATAATTATAGAAAACAAGCTGAATAAGAAATTACAATTTTACAATGAAAAGTAGCTAAATCTCTATCGTTTTTCGTAATCTCAATCGGATAGAGTGAATTTTTTTACTTTTATGGTATCCAAAATTTTAAAAAAATGTTTACCTGTTGGATACAATGATTCCAACAAGAACTGATTTCACATATATGATGTAATATCAAATGCATGAAAAGTAATTCTAAGTAAAAGGAATTTTCTGTCCCGCGTAACCGGACAAAAGTACCTTTGTTCGGGGTACTATGGTGAAAATTTTTGTTTCGTTCTGCATGACATGACTAACAATTCGTACAAATATTAATACATACATCACAGCAAACATGAAAGTACTTACAATGATTTAGAGACCTATTGAAATTAAGTATACTCTAATTTTCTCAGGTTCTGTTATACTTACCAAGTTTAATAACATTTTAGTTAGAAGTTTCACTTCTGCCAGGGGTCCCGAGACCCACACTTATTTTTTTTTTCAAGACAATAGGATACTCTTTGTTTCAAATGATTCTTTACATTTATCTTAGATTGTTTAAATTATTTCAAAATTTAAATGACATTCCATTTACCGAGATTAATAATATATTACGCACCAAGGACCGTAACTGTGCTATTACAGCCCTTATTACAGTCAGAGCTTCTGCATCTTTGCAGGTTACGCCAGCTAATAGCTCTAAAAGATACTCAGTATAACCTATATTTTATTGCATTTTAATCAAAATGTTTTAATAAACATGCATAAGTAAAATGTGTATAAACTACTCATAATTTTAGTGAAAATTTAATCCTTGCAAATATTGTAGACGTATAAAAACACAACTTTCTTATGTTGGTAATGCTTATTAGTCTGCTATAGCAGAAGACAAACGTATCGTTTAGTTTTACATATCAGCACAGGTATTGCTGCGATCGCTTTTCCAGATTGTGCACGTCGTGAATACACATGCAGCGAAGTGTTTACCCGTGTTTCTTGAGTTATTTTTACTGCATTTTTGTACAAAGAGATACACAAAAAAATGTGCAACACTCTACAATTCCTACATGCTGCCTTTTTTGGCGAAACAGTACTTAGTTCGACACATCCAAGCGCCGTTAGACACACAGCTATAGCTATATCATATTATATACATGGTTAATCCCCGCAGCGAGAGAAAAAGAAAAGAAGTGACCTGCAGGCGGTCGGTGCCAGCGCTCACTCCATACAACGTATGAATAAACATTTGAAAACTGCGTGCACGCTTTGTATCTGTTTTCTTTTTCACCGAATAGGTAATGTAAGTATACGCTGACGCTTCAGTTACTTGTCACCGTCGCACAGTCGACCTTTTTCGAATTTTTTCCTTCAAAATCTAATATCTCATGAACGAAATAAGATATTAACACGATTCAAAATGGAAATTAAAGCTTTTGGGCATAGGAATAAAGGAAAAATATTAAG